TTGAAGAAACTCAAATCATAGCCATAGCGATAGCTTTGCAATCAAGCGTTAAGATTCGGAGCCGGAATCCTGTGACATTTTTGAGATAATATATCCAGAGTGAGAAATTCACAGCGACAAGAAGCATGAGATAAGGACAACGATTTTTGCACATTTGCACGTGTTCACGTGAGTATTCACATCAGTCCTGGTGTAGAAACCAATAGAAACGATAGAAACCCTTTTGATTGACGACCACCCAAATTCAATTTTTCATTTGTGACGAAGGTCTAGTTGGTCGCGTGTGACTGGGAATCGCAGTAATAGGCAGCCAATGCAATTGATGTAAAACAGGAGTTATATGTTCTCTGCGCTTAGTTTTAGTTATTAGTCTGGCAGCTGAATTTTGCAAGCGCTGCAGCTTATTTAATTGCTTTGTAGGTAAACCATGCAAGACGCTATTGCAATAGTCTAATTTAGACGTCACAAAAGCATGTACTAGGCGTTCTGTGCTCGTTTGATCAAGATACTTCCTAATTATACCAATATTTCTAATTGCTAATGAGGCTGTGCGGCATAGATTATTCACATGACTAGACTCCGAGGTTTCGTGCTTCCGCATTGATCGATATGAAATGTTGACTAATAYTGATACTAGAAATAGGAGCATGGTTTGAAAAACGAGWATAAAAATGAGCGATCTCAGTCTTAGAAGGTTGTTACTGTGCCTATTTTCTAGAAAAAAGGACTAATTGTCATTTTAATACATTGTTCAAGATTGTTTATAGCAGAATGTCTATGATCAGGATTCATTGTTATGTACAGCTGAGAGTCGTCAGCATACATCATGCACTCAAGACCATGAGATTTAACTACATCTTCCAAAGGAGCAAAGTATAAGATAAACAGCGGTGGGCCAAGCACCGAACCTTGTGCTACGAAAGACTTCATAAGCCGCAGGACTGGACTCGGTATTTCCAAGTACGACTTTCTGAGAGCGCTCTCGTATGTAAGACTCAAACCACCGAAGTACTATTCCTGTAAAGAGTATGTCGTGGTCGATGGTGTCGAAAGCAGCCGACAGGTCAAGAAGAACAAGAATCACTTCGATGCCTTCCTCTGGTCGATCTTTCTAAGAATATCGTTGTGAACTCGTATGAGAGCCGTTTCTGTACTGTGGAATTCTTGATATGCTGATTGAAATCTGGGATAGRGTTGATTTCTTGAAAGATAATCACGTACTTGAATAGAAGCGATACGCTCAAGAACTTTTGACAAGAATGCATGATTCGTTATAGGCCGATAGTTASAGAAGTCCTCCTTATCTAATGAAATTTTCTTGATTTTTGGAAATAACCGACCCTTTTTGAAGGCAGTTGGAAAAACACCCTTTTGAAGTGAAGAGTTTATTAAGGTTGTTATTACAGGAATTAGTTGAAGTTTCGTAAAACCAAAGAGCAAATTTATAATCACTCGAGTAATAAATCAAAGATGACGGCGTAGATGAAATACACATTGACCGAGTCGACCTGGACGCATACATTAGCAATAATCAGCTCATTAACTGGCCCTGGCAACCTGACGTAGCATTGTCGAAAAGTTTGAAAAAGTTGCATTCCCCGTCAATATGTGCGCCGCCATCTTTGATACTTACTTGAGCCCACGCTATTTTTCGTGGACAACAGTATTCGTCAGCATATATCATTACCACAGGAAGACCAATCAACAAATTTAATGTCTGCCGTGCTCCCTTGCTTCGGRTGGAACGCAAATGCAAGTAAATTAAGATACGCATGCGCAATAGTGCTTGTTTATAGTTCACACTTTTT